TAGATGATTCCTCCACTCACCCCCTCCAAGAGTTCCAGTGCCCTTCTAGTGACCCAAGCGGCCTGTGGGATGATACTGGGGGAGTTCCACAGCCACAGCTGATGAGGAGCAGATCGAAGTGTGAGTGGCTTTCTTGACTTACATTTCCAATGTCATACTGGGGAAAAAGAAAACGAACCATTGCTTATTTTGTCTTTTCAATTTTATTTTTTTTAAGTAGGTGCTGGAGTGCAAGCCTACAGTTTTGGTCTTTGAAGTAGACACTCTGCTTCCAAGATCCCAAGGCACTCAAATGTACATGGAGTGAAGACAGACATTCTAAGGGTGAAGACAGATGTAACATTCCAAAAGAGAAGACAGTCACAACACTCTGCAAACACAGTCAAAATCAGCCTTTCTCAACCTGCTGGTCCCCAGATGTTGATGAACTACAACTCCCATCGCACCTTGTTAGCAAGGCCAGAGCTCAGGGATGATGGGAGTTGTAGTCCAACAACATCTGGGGACCCACAGGTTGAGATCCGCTGGTCTAAATGATTTGAATATTAATATGAGGTTCTTGTATTAATATACAAACCCATGAATATCTTGGGTCCAAGAAACCTTAAAGACTACCTGAGCCCTATATCCCAGCTTGATCTCTAAGATCACCTGAAGTCTCCCTGTTCATTGTCCTCCATGATTCAGAAACCAGGCTAGATTCAACTAGAGGTTGGGCATTTAGTGTTGATGGGTTCATGCTCTGAAATACTCTTCCAGCAGAGATTCAACCTTGCTGCCAGCCTGTCTTTTGGCCCAGAGGCCGACAACCAAGGTCTGTTAACCCTGATCCCAGGTGTCATTTCAGGACTCCAGCATCTGCTCGTGGGCTCTTTCTAAGATTGTTTTTACCTGATTTATCTAAAAACAAACTGCAAGCCTGAACAAGGTGGATAACATCCTGGGAAAATTGAAAGATTTTTTTAATCTGGATTTCCCTCCCTGCCTCAGCCCTACCACCAATCTATTAAGAAGGATCACTTCTTCTTCTTTTTTTAGCCCGAATATCAAAAGCTGGATTTTTGTGATGAACAGGAAACATCCTTGCGCTCTTCTGCTTTCCTGCAAGCTGTCACCTTGACTTTCTTAACTGTGATGTGGTGGTGTTCAGCTTTTCACTAGCTTCTAGAAGGAACAACAGCACTCAGATCAGAGAGAAAGAGAGAGAGAGAGAGATGCACACAAATTTACATCTTTGAGTAAATTACCTTGGTGAGGGTCTCACTGGCATTGTACTCTGCAGCTTGCTTTGCAGCCCTTTTGCTTGGTCCCAGCTCCTACCAAACTAGCAGTTTGAAAGCACACCAAAAAGCGCAAGTAGATAAATAGGTACTGCTCCGGCGGGAAGGTAAACAGCATTTCTGTGTGCTGCTCTGATTTCGGTGTTCCATTGCGCCAAAAGTGGCTTAGTCATGCTGGTCACATGACCTGGAAAAACTGTCTGTGGACAAACACCTGCTCCCTCAGCCTGTAAAGCGAGATGAGCGCTGCAACCCCAGAGTCGTCTGCGACTGGACTTAACTGTCAGGGGTCCTTTACCTTTTAGTATAGAAAAATAAAGTTTTTTAAAAGAATAGAGGGCCAGGAGATCCAACATCCAGTGTAAAAGTCCTGTGCCTTAAGCCCCCTGACCAAGGTTCCTGGGCAGAGGCATACCTTATCAGCAGAGACAGAAGTCCAGTTTCATTTTGCATTTGATACATTCCAGGATCAGCACCATACCCTTTCTTTCTGAGACTTCCCCTTTACCCAGGGAGCCTCAGCCACCCATCAGAATTCCTTGAGCATCCACATCTATTGGAACTTAACCTGCTACATGAACCTTTTGTCTGAACTCTTATGTAAAAAAAACCTTGCCTCACTCAGGGCAATTAGGCGTCAAGTATCTAAACAGGAAATGAGAGAGATTTTCCTCATTTCCTTTCAATTACAGGGATAATGTAATCTCTCCCTCTATATACCCTTTAAAGAACCTTGGCTAAAAGGATAATGAATGCTAATAGGTAGAATTTGATAAAAGAATCAGATACACCAGTAATGTTGGACACCTACAAGTCAAACAGGAGGGCTTGAGGATGCATTAGGCGTTAGGTCTTTGCTGATGTACCAACAGATAATTGCTATGTTGTGTTTAAATATCTTCAATCTTCTAAGCAGCTGCCTGAGGCCAGTCATTGTATTTATTATTCATTATATTATATGTAAAAATTAGCGCGCATAGTGTGTGCTGGGTCACAGAGGTGCCACAAACCTCTCTCCCCGTACTTATTGTGTAAGAGTCATTTCAACTATAATGATTAGTGGGGGGAACAGGTGAAGCACCATTATTTTGTGTTTCCTGCTTCCTTCATGTATGCATTATCTCCAGAGAGGGATTTTCTATGGAGAGCATCAGTTTGCACACTACGCTTTGGAAGTAGATGAGAATATTCTTCTTTGAAAGTAATGGAGAAGCGTAAGGGAACATGAAACTGAAAGCAACTGCACTTCTTGTGCAGTTGATTTGAGGTAGAAAATTGGATGTGCAATTGATTTCAGTTTCCTTTTCCCCATCTTAAGTCAATTGCACTTCCTGTTTCCCCCATTTGGTGCTGTGTCCCCGAAAATGGCTCTCAGTGTTTTTTTCCATAGACAAGCAGCAGATCATGTGGTTAAACTCTTCTGAGTGTGTACTACTCTAGGCTGCAAGTGGCTGCATGTGTGTAACAACCACCCAAAAACTGCCCCCACCCAAAGAAAAAATAATTAGGATGCTGGTAAGAAGAAGGCTATGATGGTACCCTTTGGTTTGGAATATTAGATTGCTTTCAGAAGTGAGGCCCATACTTCATATTTTGAATTGAAACAACTCCACATGCTCTCTGAAGTAGTGCAGTCTAGGTACAATTTTATTAAGCAATTTGTTATCTCTTTACTTGGAACATGGACAAGACACAAGTATGGAAGAGTGCCTGGTTTGACAAAAGGCCAGCTGGGAACATTAAACTAATACATCCTTAGAGGTCAGAAAAGCCTTGATCACTGTGGATGCAGCACTTTTGGGGGTCTCACGTGCCTGTGAGGTTTGGCTGGCCCTTACCAGGGGGTGAGCCTTAAGAATGGCAAGCCCTGATGTGTGGAACTCCTTCCCAATAGAGGTTTGGCATGAGCCATCCCTGCTCATTTTTTATAAGTTTTTTAAAAAATAACTGGGTCATTCAGACACGACTTTCAAACCTGAGATTGTTTGCCAACCAGCTCTTAGTGATGTGCTTGATGTTTTTATTGCAATAGTGCATTTTAAAGACTGTATAACCCTGGTAATATTTTATAATGAAAGCTTATCAACATTTAAAATACATTTTAAAACAATACCAATGGTGCAACCCTATCCAAATCCATTCATGTTTATTATAGGATCCCGATACAACTTTACTATTTCCTTGCAGTTTTCATCACTGTTTATACTCTATTCATTTTGTTTTTAACATCAGATACCAGTGTACCTACTCTATTGCATGTGTGTTTTCTCCAAGGATGCCTTTCCCTGGTACTTGTCTGGGAAAGGGAGGAGGGATACATCGTACAAGACAATATGCAGTACCAAAACTACTGAGTGAGAAAGAAAAGAATAATAATAATAATAAAAGCCAACAGAAAACTGTAAGGACATCCCTGTGGAAGGGAAGGAGTGAAGAAGCAGGCTCATCTCCTTTGCTTTTGTTTTTTTAATAACCAATAAAATAAAATAAAATAAAGCCACAACTGTTTTACGGTTTCCTTCCATTGATTTCTCCCACCTGCTTTTTCTTCTAGGAATTCTTTTCTTGCCTTCCTACCTGGGTTCTTGGCCAATTTATTTTGCCTACTGCTGGAGTGTTAGCTGGGGACTTTGGGGATGAGGGATCTGCTAGCTTTCAGACATGCGAGGGTGGGGATTTTCGGCTGCATGTGCCTGTTAAAGTAAATAATTAGGGCTTGGAAAGAGGGAGGGAGGGGAAGTGGGGTGAGAGAGGAGGCAGCAATAAAACACTAGTCAGTGTGCTTTCAAGTTGATCCAATCTCTACACATTGGGCTCCCATATTTCTAGCATACTGTTGCCCACACCACATATACAAACTGAACATAGCGTGGAGGGGCTCACGGCATTAACACTCCAGCAGACCCTCCTTAAATATGTTTAAGGAAGGTTCAGGGAAGAGAAGGTGTGGATAAGATAATCAAGGGGAGGGCTATCAAACATGTATCAAGTAACTACACTCAGGATCGAGAATCAATCTAGATCGAAAGCAGCATGTTGAGGACAAGCGTGAATGATTCCAGACCGAGGAAAACTACATTAATGTGCTATGAATGGGTTAATGCATATGTAGCCAAACTCTATAGTTACACTCACAATCAGGATGCTGTTCCAGTTGCTATATGTCAAAAAGGATATTCTTTAATTGGACAAGCTGGAGAAAAGGGACACAGAAATGGGTTGCAGAGGACTTTCCCTGCAAGAAAAAGTTGTGGCATTTGGGCTTGTAATTTGGGTAAGAAGGTGACCAACACGGGCTGGTGTGTTTGTGTGTGTGTGTGTTGAGAAAGTGACATTGTCTCATAAGGGAGACATTCAATGAAACTGGTCAACAAACTAGACAATCCTATCATAGGAAGCACCTTATACCAAATCAGTCTAATGGTTCAGCTAGCTCAGGACTGTCTAAACTGACTAGCAATGGGTATCTGCAGTTTCAGGCAGGGATCTTTCCTAGCCTTACCTGGAGATGCTGGGGATTGAACCTGGGAATTTTTGCATATGAAGTGTGAACTCTACCATGCCCAATAATAAAAAGCTGCATTATAGTATGTCCATTGGTCCATTTTGTTCGCACTGATTTGCTGTTTTTCAGACTGTACATAAAAGCTCCGTTTCCTTATCATGTCAAGTGACTCATGCCCCAACAAATAAGACCTTTCCAGCACTTTAGAAGTAGGGGGAGAATGTGGCTCTGTGGTAGAGCATCTGCTTTGCATGCAGAAGGCTCCAGGTTCAATCCCTGGTATCTCCAGGTAGGGCTAGGAATGTTCCTTTTCTGAAACCCCGGAGAAAGCCTCTGCCAGTCAGGATTGCCAATACTTAACTACTTTGACCAGTGGTCATTATTTTGACATTATTTTTCAGCCATCAGCAAATGGACTGAGATCCATCCATTCAAAAGAATGGCAGCAAAATGGATTTACAAGTGTTGGTTTGTTCAAACAACAGTCTATTAAAATAACCTCTGGACATCCTGGCACGATTGCATGTTTACAAGGATGATGTATTTAGTTTTAATCAGGCCTTACAAGGATGTTCCCAAGTCAATTTTAAAAAGATTACTTCTAGTCTAGTCACATTTTAAGTGTTTGTGACATTATGCAAATAAGAGTCCACACAAAACAAAATCAGATGGCCAGATAATTGACCATTAATCTTTGATAAAAAAAATTTCATATATAAAAAAAATTACAGGGCTTGGAAATCAGCTTAGTACGCAGTCTCCTGGGCCTTCTCTGAGTCAAATAACTCTTGTACATCCTAAGCGGATCTCTGATTGCTGTAAGTTGAAAAATAACAATTGCTTTTAAACAAACCCATAAAGAAATTGAAATCAATTGGGTCACACCTGGTGTAATTTAGAGCTGAATTTCGTCCACTGTGTGGTCAGATTTTTTATTATTATTAAAAAGATCCAAAACAAAACAAACAAGCCAAGGCATGTGCAGAAACAATGAACTCTGATTTGATGTACTACACGGTAATCTTCCTTCTAAGCCAGTCAAAACACAGCAGGTTGATGACAGAGCTTGGATTGAAATCCAATTTATTCATAAAGATACAGTGCTGTTTTAAACAAACTGTTCTTTTATGGAAATGATGATCCCTGATTGGCTGACAGAAACAAAGGTCTCTTTCATAAGCCAATAAAAACATGGAGAAGGACATCCAGAGTGCTGTGAGTTGCTGTTACTGTGCCCACAAGCATCCATCAGACCAGGAGTGCAATCCAACTCCTATTTAAGTCACAAACGAGGCACCCATTGATTGGTTTGGAGCAGGATCATACCTGAAATGGGCATCTCTCCATCCATCCTTTAGCACAATAAGCAAAGCTATCATGCACTGACATCTCTGATTCTGTATTGCTAAGATCTGGAAAGCAACGAGCCCGTTTTCAGAGTTGTTTTCCCTAAATGTCTCTGTGCTAGACAACCAATATTTGTGAAAACAGGCAGAATCTCACCAGCCAGCCAACTATATTTATTCAGCATCAGCTCTGCCAGCTCTTTCTGAGGCATGTTTTCTGAACCATGGTGGAAATGCCAGCATTTAAAAATCCGGTGGCCCTGTCATCATTAGTTCATTTTAGAGTCACTGCAAAATAACTGTTAATCACCATAAACCTAAACAACAAGTCCTTTTCGGAATTTTCGGCAAAAGGCTTCTGACGTTGCTAATAACGTAATGGCGAGGCGTTGGAATGCTTCCCCAGCATAACAAGCATCAGCACATAGCTTAATAAATCATTAGTCTACCCACAAGCAAATAAATATGTCTGAAAACCAAAGAGAGGAAAACAACATACAGCATGTGACATCAACAACTTTGAGGCTCCTCGCTTGTAGCATTAGAACTGAACTAGCATGCTAATATGACATTTACAAATAATACCTAACCGCAGCCTAATTAACTTATTGTGTGCATGCTAAAACAGCATACATATTGTATTAGAAGGTGGGGGCGGGAGATGTTATTTGTTCTGTTGCATGGGAACTTAATATATTTGCATATTTAACAAATCGTTACAGGGAAGGGATTTATTTTTAAAAATGCAGAGACCGTCACTGTGCAGTAAGCACATTTCAAAGACACAACATTGTCTCTCTCTCTCTCTCTCTCTCTCTCTCTCTCTCTCTCTCTCTCTCTCTGTGTGTGTGTGCGCGCGTGTGTGTGTGTGTGAAGTGCCTTTCTGTAGCTGACTGGCTTGAAGAAGGCTGAGTTGTTGTTGTTGCTGCTGCTTTATAGACAACCAATATGAATGAAACGTCTGGTGTTACTGTGACATGCGGAAGGATCTGCTAGTAGTCAAATTCTACTCTCTCAGACAGCACTGAAATGCTGAGAGTGGGGTGTAGCTCCATGGTAAAGCATCTGCTTTGCATTCAGAAGTCTCAAGCTAAATAGCATTCCCAACTAGGACTGGGAATGTCCCCTGATGACAACAACAACAAAAACATTTTATTACGACCGTAGACCAGCATAATGTCCCCTGGCTGAAACCCTGGAGACCCACTGCGAGTCGCCAACAGCATTGAGCTAGGTGTGCCCATGGTCTGACTTGGTCATGCAGCTTCCTACATCTCTAGGATCCCAGCCACGTTTGATTCCCCCTTCCTCCACTGCTCAAAAATATTTAAAGAATAGTGAGCATGTACTGATGATTACTATTATTTAAGTGCCATTAATGAGCATGGCATTTTAAAGAGGACAGGTCTCTGCCCAAAGAGGCTTGAAAACTCAAATCTGACAAAAGGCAGACAAGAACAGAAGAGACATCAAGGGAGGGAGGTGAGAAGTAAGCCCTCTTTATCTATTTTAAGGCATCGGCCAAAAGACTTCTTTTTTACCTGGGCATTTGACCCATAATTTGAATGGTTTTAAATGCTTGTGGCCTCTTTCAGTGGGATCTGTAAGACCTGCATTTTATTTGTATAGATGTGGGGTTTTGTTTTTGTTTTAACTGGTTGTGTTTTTCCACCCACAAAATGTATGAACCTAAATGTAGCTAACCTTTGAAATTCACACTTCTCCCACCTTTGCAATGCAGTTCTCCAGCCAAAATATGTGTACAAAATGTGTACATTAAGAGAAAGTGCATAAAGCTCATTTATTAGTTATTATGTCAAACAAAACTGCATGCTATTTGGGAACAAATGTTTCAAATGCTTTTAAATTACCTGTGTTTTAAACTACCCCCCTCCTGATAATTTATATTTTTTTAACCACTTAGATGTTTTCTTACAATCAAGCAGTATACAAATGTTGTTAAAGAAATAAGTGCATATATGGGCAGGGAATGCACCGAAATGAGTATATTGGGGGCGAGGATGCACACTAAAATGCTGATGAATTTTTATGAGGACTTTTTTAAAAAAATGCAAACTGATGTTGAAAAGTAGAAAACTGATGTTTGAAAAAAATCAGAAACCAAAATGGATAGATCCACCCATCCTTAAGCAGTCTACAAGCCATTTGTCCCAACATGCCAGAGACAGTGCTTATTTTTCAGTACTTGTCCCTGTTTGGGTTTTTGGAGATGCTTTCCATAAACTTTTCTAGTCTTCACATTAGTGCACCTGAGTCCTCCAAGTTTCAGCTCTTTTTCCTCTTACCTGTGCACAAGGGCCAGAACATCTTGACTCTGCTGGCATGCAAGCATAAATAACACGTAAATAATGCATGCACAGAGACCCCAAATGCCATGGCACAGCTTCCACTCCTCCCCAATTCCTCCAACTCCCTCTCCAGACAGTCAGTGTTGCTGAATATATTTGAGTTTGCAGCTATTCTGTACTAAGAACAGCCAAATTCTGACATCAGATTGAGCAGTTGATTCTACTTTCTTGGTTGTTATTTTAAAGAAATCCGAAATGGAGAGTTCATTAAAAGTATACAAGAGTCTCCCTATTTTTCAACCGTGACATAGTGGAAGGGGATTTGTGGCAACCCTGGAGGAGGCTGAATATGAACCTGAAATTCCGAAGCTTCCATGCTCCTGCACAATTTTGATTTGCTGTGAGCAAAATGAAAACCTGGTCAGATCATACCAAATTTCTATCTAGTCCAGCATCCTCTTTCTCAAAGTGGCCAACTAGATGCCACCTGAGAAGTCCATAAGCAGAACACAAGGCTCGGAGACCTCTCCTGATGTTGTTGTTTATCAGCAGCTGGCATCCAGAGGTATCCTGCCTTTCATGGTGGAAGTAACATACAGTCTTCATGACTGTGCAGTGTCATGGAGGAAAGGACTCTCTAAGGGCAGGGAGAAAAATAGCTTCTTTTCTCACAGAGAAGGAAATTCACTCAGCAATCTTCATTCAGGGCTGGTGGGTCAGTACACCTCTCTTCTTCCTTCTTCTACCCTTTCTTCCTTCACTGGCTTCCAGACCAGTCCTACCATTTGGCAGAGTAAGGCAGATGACTTAGGTGGCAGCTGCCAGGAGACAGTGTTGGTAGTCCCCATCTCCACTGTTCACCCTGAGCCACCTAATCTAGCCTGTCCTGCACCTCCTAAGCTAGCCTGCTGACCTCTGATGGGTAGTCTCCTGCTGACAGTGCTTCAAGGGGTAAAATGGCCAGCCCAGTATGGAATTTGGGAGGTGATGTCATCCTGTCTCTCAGGCAGCAAAATTTCTTGGACCATCTCTAACCGCTTTCTTTCTTTGTTTAGCCTGTTGACCTCTCATGCTGCTATCTATAACAGCTGAAGGCAGGAGTAGGGGTCATTTTTCAATCTGAGGGCCAGATTAATTTATTTGTAGCCTTTTGAGGGCCACATGCTAGCGGTGTGCAGGGCCAGAGGCAAAGGTGGGCAAACAATGAATATGTATATTACCTTTGTATAGTAGGCTAGTTCTGCTCATACACTCACTATGCTCTCTACCTTCCAGCAAGCTAAGCACAAGGCATAACCAGAGTTCAAGGACACATTCCAGCCAGGCAAAAATACCCGTCGTCCAAAGCAGTGAAGGCTGTGGCCTAGGGAAAGGTGATGTGGACTGGGGAGAATTCTGAGGCCCAGATAGAGAGACATGGGGGCCAGGTTTGGGCCCCAGTCATTTGCCCCTTGAGACTTGATGTTCCCTAAACCTGAGCTAAACCCATGGTCTACTGGCATCCATGGGTGAGGTCGTTTCTGGGACTTTTAAGCCCCAGGAATGGCTAGTCAGTATTTCAATGAGTTGGGCAACAGGACAAGTCCAGAAAAGCATGATTCACTGGGCAGGGTGGCATCTAAGGAATCTGTCT